ATCTCTCTACCCCTTTCTAAGTGGGCGGGATAGATGCCGCTGTTTGCCACTGATTGGTGATTGTCTTAGCCACAGTTCTATTCAGTGGTAATGCCAGCTTTGCTGGTGCATCAGCAGACAAAATGTCTACCATGGAGTCCGAATCCTCATTTACAACCTCTGCCTGTAGCCTCAGATTTGCTGCCAAGCTACATAGCAGTTCTTGGTGGGCTCTAGCATCCACAGAGATGAGGAGTCCCTTATTGGCAGCTGATCCTGGAGTGGCTCTGCCATCTGGGAGATTGACTGGGCCTGGGGCTGGTCCTCTGGTCCTAGAGTGGCTCTGCCACCTGTGAGATTGACTGGGCCTGGGGCTGGTCCTGAGCTCCCAAGCCTTCACCCTCTATTACACAATGTGGCAAGTCCCTCTGTGGGCTGCCTCTATATTCAGTGGCAGGAGCCCTGGACAGGGGTTTGCCGATGGAGTATTCCTGGACCAAGACAAACCAGAGCCCTGAGAGGATGGCTTCGGGCCCTGCATTTGACAGCAGGTCCAGGGGGTCCAAAAGGGCCATTGTGGCTGCGTTGGAGGCAGCCATGTCTGATGGGGTTGGTACTCCAGTAATGGGACCGGTGCACGAACGGGAGCGCTGCCGAGAAGATCTATGTGAAGATGCTCCAAGGCACACTGATTCTGCATGAGATTCTGAAGAGTAGTCTGATGCAGACTAGGCCAGAGCCGTCGAGGGCGCCTGAGAGAGGTGCCAGAGCCATGCCATGGACTCCAGCTTTCCCCGGTGCACTGGAGGAGGGGGCCTCATCACCATAGGTGGCAAGGAGCATGGCTCACTGTGTGATGGTGTGATGGTGCCATAGGAAGTGGGCCGCTCCTTCCATCCCCGTGCACCGACCATCCTGATGCAGTCCTTCCGGTTCTGATGATAACATTGGTATCAACGAGGCTAACGATGCCGATGAGATCACTGGTGTCAACGAGGTTCCCAGTGCTGACCAGGCCCCCAGTGTCATGGAGGTAGTCGGTGCTGCCAAGGCTACCAGTGCCACAGTTATATGGCTTGTATGCCCCAAGTGTCTGATTTGTCAAGACGTCAGGTCCGGTGCCAGGGACAAGACCAGCAAGGCAGTGAGCTCTATTAGCTCCCTCACAGCAGCAAACGTCTCAGGGGTAGACGCTCTGTCCACATGTAAGGCCCTTTTTTAGCCTGGACTCCTGGTCTGCGTTGAGCCCAACCAGTGCCTAGAGGGTCCTGGGACATCTCGGTGGTGAGTCTTCTATTGGGGTGCGGGCCCGGTGCCAACTCCCGTGCCCTTGCTTCCCCAGAGGTCTCCCTCTAGGTTGTCTCCTCTTCTTCAGTGCTGGAGACTGGGAACGGGGTCTCGGTGCCGTAAACTTTTTCGGTACCATGGTGTGTACCAGTGTCACTGAGGGTTCACGTACTAATGCTGGTGCACTCCTCACCGCGGTGCCCACTCTGATGCCGGCTGAAGTGCGGGTGCGGGGTTTAAAACCCTTGCAGATTTTGCAGGAATCTGTAAGGTGGCCCTCCCCCAGACACTTTAAACGAGAGTCATGGGGTCCCTGCAGGCCATAGGCTTTGAACAGGTTGCACAAAGCTTAAAACCCTGCAGACCTGGCATCACCCTCCCCCAGAGGGGAGAGGAACGTTAACACTGAGGCTGTGTCCAGACTCAGGTGCGGGGTTTAAAACCCTTGCAGATTTTGCAGGAATCTGTAAGGTGGCCCTCCCCCAGACACTTTAAACGAGAGTCATGGGGTCCCTGCAGGCCATAGGCTTTGAACAGGTTGCACAAAGCTTAAAACCCTGCAGACCTGGCATCACCCTCCCCCAGAGGGGAGAGGAACGTTAACACTGAGGCTGTGTCCAGACTCAGGGGCTTTTTCAAAAAAAGGAGCCTTTTTTCGAAAAAACTTCACCTGCGTCTAGACTGCAGCCACGTTCTTTCGAAATTAAATCGAAAGACCGCGGCTTTTCTTTCGACGGCGGTAAACCTCATTGCACGAGGAAGAACGCCTTCTTTCGAAAGAAGGCGTTCTTGAATGTAAATAGGGCTTCTTCGAAAGAGAGCATCCAGACTCACTGGGTGCTTTCTTTCGAAAAAGCAAGCCGCTTTTTCGAAAGTTTCGCGTGCAGTCTAGACGCTCTCTTTCGAAAGAGGCTTGCAGTCTAGACATAGCCTAAGAAACTACCTACCTAATTACTAACTATTTACACTACAGACAACAACTTCAAAAGGTAACTATCTACATGCTGGGTTGTAAAGTCAGAAAGACAAGGAGCTCCAGTTATCATCCCAGGAGGTAAAAGGAATGGAGGGAGACGAGGGCTGGCAGGGGTACTTATTCACCATTATGTCGGCATCATTCTAAGGGGCTCTCTGCTGGCCCAACGGATAATGCTGGGGAAAAAAGGCTCCGGAATCCAAGCACATGGCGTGGACATACCTAATACAAATGGACATGAGCAAGCACTTAAAGAAGAATACTGAATTATTATTAACAACAATAACAGGCTGAGAAGCCTTTTTCCCTTCACATGCAGCATTACTCAATTGTCTATAGACAGTACTTTTAAAATTATTTTCTGCCTTCCTCTCAAGAATAGATTTCTAGATTCGACGATGGATAATTGCTGTGATTTCAAAAGGTAAATCTTATGTTTCTATACTCAGATGCATGTTCACAAAACGAGAAGAAAAATTAGACATCTCAGTAGACAGCTTCTTTGCTGTGTGGTGACTGAGTTTAGTTTCTGAATGTCTTTTCAATCTAATAGACATAAAGATAGGTTCTGTATTAACACAGTGGTACAGCATGGTATATACAATACAGTACTGTGCACTTTTTGGAAAATATGAAATACTTGTTTATATTACACTGGATAGGAGCCTAACCCACAAGCTTCAGATCTAGGAATTGAATCACTGCCCCCAGTCTGAAAGCAGTCAATCCAGGCATTTGTTTCAGTTCAGAATAGAGATAAGGGGCATCTTTATCTCGGTATTACACTGTAACACCATTTTTTTGTATACACAGTATCATGTATTTGTTCAAGGCTTTGCTCCAAGAATTTTGGACATAATTAAAATGCAAAGTGCATGCAAATAGTGTCTTACTATCCATATTTTATAAACGTGCTTGCATTTGGAACTTTGCATGTAAAGACAACACTATGAACACATATGAAATTGTATTGTTTTACGTGGAGTTTTCAGATTTGGAAAATAATCAAACATTTAAATTAAAAACCAAAAACTAGAAAAAGGCACCAAAAGAAGTGGACTAGCGAAAGAAATGATGTTAACGGCAGTTAAGGAGAGAGGCAATTCCTTTTAAAATTAGGTGCGAAGGAGATGCAGGTTTTGTGATGACAGTAATCTATGGAGAAGAACAATAAAAAACTGCCTGGAATATTGTCAGGAACAACTCCTCACTGGTAGACTACACCTTGGTTTCCAAGATGTGGTCTATAAATTAACCATGCTCTGCAAAACGTTTTGTGGTGGAGAAAAGTAGTTTGACAATCCAGCCTTTAAAGAGATATTATTGATTTTAAAGTAGGTCTATGGGAGAAAGATCTCTCTATTACAAAATGGTCTGCCAGCTGCTCAGATTAGCTAGACAAATACATTTTCTCCCGTTGCAATTTCTTTTTTTTTTAAATATCTGAAGTCAACAGACAGTGAATAAATGAGAAACAGTAGACAGTAACATACATGCTACAAGCCGAGGACCAATGAGTTATCCAAAGCCAACGTTTACATCAATTTGCTCAAGAACAACATAAGGGTGAAATTATAGCAGCAGAGTGGTCTAGTAGGGAGGGCAATTAATTGAGTGCCAGGAGTTTTAGGTTCTGGGCAATCACTTCAACAGTATTTCCCCTCCTATTCTTTGTCTGTTTAGATTGCAAACTCTTTGGTGGCAGAGACTTTCTCATACTATATTCCTGTATAGTACCTAGTGTGATAAGGCTCAGTCTTGGGTAGTACCTCAAAGTATTGTAATACAAAAAATAGATGGGACACAGGTCAAAATATTCACTTGCATGATTCTGTGATTAAAACTGGAAAGGAAGTAAGGGGAAGTGGCCTATATGCTCCAGTATTTGGGGGAAAGTAATTAAGAAGTAATGAATCAGGAACAATAAATTAAATATAACTATTGATCTACATAGGAAGTAAGGGAATTGTGATAAATTATTTCCATTAAGAATAGATTGACAGCAATTCTGTTGTGCATAGATGTAAATGAAAATGTCATGTCTTGTAATGTCTAACTCTACAATGTTAGCATCAATTTAAGTTATCAAACAAGAAATATAACTGTCATCCACTTGGAGATTTACAACATTTTAGGTAAGGTAGTTACCCTTCTTAGCTGAACAGGCATTCATGATTTAAGGCACTTTTGAAATACTTGATCCCTCTCTGCTCAGTGAATTCCTGGAACTCACCAGGAATTCCTTATGTTGAGGCTTCTGCTTTGTAATCCCCTGTACAAGGTGCACTAAATAACCTTAGAATCTGAAGTAATTGCCTGTGCCTGGATCCTGCATCTGGAAGATGGGAGTGCTATAATGTTAACAGATATAAATGGTACTTAACATAGTGATGATGGTAATTTAATGGTACTTTGATTTTTATTTACTCGCTGTGGCAGTTCTCAAGTGTTTGGGATGCGAATATCATTATTCTCAGAATTAAAAACAGTCTATTGAATCATTAAACGATATTTTGGTAACATGTATTGTCAGGTGAATTAAAAAATAATTCCTACAATATAGCACTAAGCTACCACACACAAACTTGATATGACATCTTAAAAGATAGCAACTAAGCTTGATATGACAAACTTGATATGACATCTTAAAAGATAGCGGTCAAGAAATTCTGCTCAAAACACTAGAAGAGCATTGTTCTTACTGCCTTTATCCAGCTATAAAATGTAAAAACATGTAGGTTGTTTAGAAAGAACATACCTATTAGTTCCTTATTTCTGACATCTAAGGCCATGTTTCGTAAAGCTGTAGCAACTGCACATACCACCCGGTCGTTGTCTATTCGAAGTAGCTCCACCAGGATCGGCAGGCCTTTTTCTTTGCGAACGGCAGCACGGATATACACCGACCACTGTAAAAAGATATTGCATGAGGGAGTAAAGGAATAATGGCTGTAGAATTTAAAGACAGAGGAAATTATTATATCTGTGTTGCTAGACAACCACTTGACTTGGAAACCCATATTTCTTTTATTTATATGTGACAGAAAAAATTAATGATTAATTGACTTTAAATACTTGTGCATCCAATTACTGCTTTACTTTTTGGGTTGCAGAGGCCATTTGCTTGGCATCAGTATCTTCTGGCAAAACTTGAACAAAGATGGTTTGTTCCTAATGCCATCTAATATTATAAAATGTGTTTTAGAAGTTAGCATGTTTCCTGGATGTCAATTTGAGGAATGTTAGACCCAAACCCAGGAAGGTACTTCATTTTTTCTTTCATGATAGGTAATTTGGTCAAGAAAGGAAGTGAGGAGGGAGTTACACTACTGTATTTACTGTTAAAACACTGTTTTCAGTGTGCTAAATTATTTTTATGTAGGGACTATAGGATTAGATTTATTATTAAAAATATGATTCAACCATGAAGAATCTAGAATTTTGGTTTTAAAAGTCCATCTAGATCAGAAAATGCTGAGAGTTATATTATTTTACCCCAGCTTATGAAGCAATTAATTCAATTTTATGAGCTCCAAACAGTGTCTTGAAATAGTTTCATAAAAAGCTTGACATACCCAGCTTCTTAACAAGACAGAATGTAATGACATAGTGTGTGAAGCTGAATGATAACAGCGTGAGACGATCAGTGAGAGATAAGCAAGTTGCATTTTTCTGTTTGAACAGTTTGTGTGAGATGTTTGAGGGTGGGAATCTGCTGTCTGCATCCATGAAGTGTTTTAAGTCCTAATAGTTCTCTGGCAGCATGTCTATTTTAGAGTAGTAAAATCTTTATTTAAACTTTACACTTTTAAATAAGGGAAAGA